TGTTGCATGCATATATCTGGATTCTAGTGGACATTTTTCTGTCAGTTTGGTGGTGTCCATGTGTATAATTCCTGAAGATGGTAGCAGGATGTTGGCATGCCTGTACTTTTGTGTATCATATTTCCTGTTGATCTTGCAGGATTTGACATGGACACAGATTATCAACCAAAAACCACAAGACTATCTAGAAATATGATGCATGAACATACAGGCATGCAAGTATCCCATTACCATCTTCAGGAATTATACACACAAACACTACCAGACTAGAATCCATACACACATTTTCATCACAAGACAAAAATATGTGGGGTCTACCTGACCAATAAAAAACAAGCAACACAAAACTAAAAGTCTATTCCATAATTCATTTCCCGTAATATCCTGATGATACTTAAATAAAAGTGAAACTTATGAAATTCATAAAATTTTCCTTTTTGTTTCATATCCTGTTATTCTATTGGATCCTAATCCATATATATATATATGTGTGTGTGTGATCCGGAGAGGTTAAACTGCATGATAATAACACATGAGGACTGTCGTTTGGAGTTTCTGTGGCAAGTCTTTTGCACCATTACTTTTTTATCAAGAGTGTGGATAGTCCGACACAAGCCTTCACCACTTGAAACAAATCATCGTGTTGGTTTTCTGACACTTACATCTAATTAGTTCCACACATATCCAGCGACTGCAAAAAAAACTCTACAAAACAACATCAACTTCATCTTGGCTTTTGGAATGTACGAACTCTCCAGGACAACACCTCAGCGCCAGAAAGAAAAACATCTTTGGTTGCATTGGAGCTAAAAGAAGTACAATATTGATATAGCTGCACTGAACAGTAACCATCAGTTGACTACATGAAATGAGAAAGCAAAATAAGACATCTAACAGTGTTCCTGCTGCATTAAGATACAATACCTTCTCCTGTACTGTTTGTGGTCTTTTGTGCAATTATCAAGCCGGTCTCAAAAAGTTATGCCCACCATAGGCATGCAGAAAATTAGTTTGTGGTCACTGGAACCTTATACGTCGAACTCGATGGGAGAGTCCATCATATATATGATAAAATATAGTTTTAAGGTATGCTATATTTATGGTTAAAGTGCTCAATATCAGGGATAGAGTGTATGTAAATATCAAAGTGGACATTTGAGTTATTGCCTCTAGGTGTTGACTTCAATGATCACTTTTATATATATATATATAAATATATATATATATATATATATTCAGTTGTATGGATATGAGTTTTTAACCCGAGGTTTCACACTTTTGCAATCATCAGATAGGGTTACAAACTCATATCCATACAATTGAATATGTTAGCTCTATCATAGATATTGAGTAATTTCCACTAAGTACCATGCATATATATATATATATATATATATATATATATATATATATATATATATATATTCTGTGGTCTTCTTCCAGTGATATTTTTTTTTAATTTCAAATCAAACCCAGAATAGGCAATCTATATGTTGGTGTTTCTGAAGATTGGTTCAATGATATTTGTGTAGATGTTCTTCTCGTGTTTATTTCGTGGGCTGACATATAACATTCACATTCCTGGGTAGCTCAGTAAAGTTGCTGAAAATCTGTTCCATTTCCTCCACCCACCACTTGCAGATATCGTGACAGGGATTGGCAAAGGTCAAGTTCTTTTCCCACCATTTTGTTGTTGCCCTGCCATTCATAGATGAGAATTGCAATTCCAATGCAAAAGCTGTCACTTTTATTTTGTTCCTTTGTGTATCAGAGTACAATGCCCAAGCCATAGATACTTCAGAAATTGACATAGCTACTGCAAAGAATGCAGTCTGTACTTGTTGGTTTGTTGCACTTTAGGACTTGTTGAAAAAAATTGGATTTTCTTCAAATGGGGCTGTCTTCTATGGCTTTTATTCCCACTTGAGTCCAGCTAATTCTTTTGTTGGCTTTAGACAGGACAACATCATAACTAGTCTGACCAATATGGAACAAGTTGGATTAGTTAGAAATCTCACAGCATAAATTCAAGACATACTTATGAGCAAGTCTCCAGTGGACAGTTCTTTCTTTCTTGTAATCAGCACCTTCACACAATTTAAGGATGGCTTCCTCTTCATTATACACTGCTACAAATAGCCATATTGACTTATCCAAGCACTTTTGTGTTTACTCAACACTGATGGAACCCAACTGGTTTATATTGCAACAATGATGAGCAGACATTAGTTACAGTTTCTGAGAGAGAGTACATAATTTGGTATGATTAACAGTTTCAGCAAAGCCAGTAAAACTCAAACCCCTGTGGATGAGGACCTGTAACTTTGTGCTCAAACAACCATCAATAGCTTCCAAACAGCTTATGTCTTCCCAATTTCAACTCGTGGGATGGTTTTCAGGTCCTTTCCAACATTTGCATGTTGTGATTAACTTCCCATGTGATAGTATCAAGAAGTCATCTCCAGGCTAAATCAACTATGGTGAGTTTTGAGATTCTGTCTGAGGGTCAGAAAATGAACATCCTAATTGCTCAATCACATGCTCCTATATATATATATATATATATATATATATATATAGTGTCTCACCCCAGGTGTTGCCAAAACAGACTTTGTATTCAGTGTCCTCCAAAGAAACCAGGAACCAGTGGACCTCCTCCTGTAGATCCACAAAAATGAATTAGCTGCACCTAGGATGTGTACAGGTGAGAAAAACAAAACTTATGTGAGACTGATCTATAAATACTCATCTAGGAGGCAAAAGGGTATCTCTTACATCCATGCAAGAAAATAAAATTCATTATCCAACACCCACCCATTTGCCAACAGTAACTGAATAAATCCATAGTTGAATAAAATGTAATGTTGTATATGAGTGATCCAGTTTTGTATTTTTATTATTTGAACTATTGATAACACTGCACACACACACACACACACACACAACATATATATATATATATATATATATATATATATATATATATATATATATACTTTTAAAATAACATTTCCAGATCCAAAGAATCTTTTAATCCAGAAATGACCATGGCATTATTATAATATGAAAAGACATTTCACAATGGCTAATTTTTTCACATTCTAATGAATTCTCAGCATATTGTCAACCACTTTGCATTTAAAAGCATAATGAAAAAAATTACGCTAATGAATAACAATGCACAAGTTTGTATAAATACTTGTACTAATGAACAACATATAGTTTTGTACTACTTGCACTCCTGAAGATGATCTTAGAAGAAGATCAAAAGTACTTGGGAAATGAAAATAAAAGAAATTTAAACGGTTATAGCACATTTCTCTCAGCTTTTAACATCAATACAAGGAAGGCTATTCATATGACATATATTTCTGGTATTCATTATATCCCAAAATGAAAGAAGTATTTAAGTGAATGCTTAAATAATAAATCATTAGTATTTCCTTCACCAAGCTGCCACTTTTCATGTTGAAAAAAAGAAGAATGAAAATTAGTGACTTTTCTTAATGATTCCTAGTTCTTGTCAAAAGTTATTAATATATTCTGCCAGATTTTCTGTGTTGAAACCAAATTCTCATCTTATTTTCAGAATGGATCCAAAGCAAGAGAAAAGCATTTTTTGATGATACAAGAAATGCAGGCACATATATACCTGCATGTATTACACACATACTATTATGGGTGTTGTGTGTGTGTGTGTGTGTATGTGTACGTATGAGTGACATTCTCCCACTACCATAAAACACTGACATACACAACCAAAAACAAATCCAAAATTTAAAAATTAATTAGTTTGTCTGATGATCACAAAGGGCGGGAAACCCAGGGTCACAAACTGACATCAGTCCAACTAAATATGTTAGCTCTATCACTGATATTGAGCAATTTCAATAAGTATTGCACATATATATATATATATATATATATATATATATATATATATACACACATTTATATTTACATATATATATATATATATATATATATATATATATATATATATATATATATATATATATATATAATTTATATACATACACATTATACACATATAAATATATACATACACATTATACATATATATATTTATATACATACACATTATATACATATATATATATATATATATATATATATATATATATATATATATATATATATATGAAGCATTCCACACTGAGTGTTGATGTTAATAAAATAGAGCTAAAATTTATACTAATGAAACTGAAAGTTGTGCTACCAGTGAGGGAAAAAAATGTATATTTATTATTATTATATATATATATATATATATATATATAATTTCCCTTCAGAAGCAAAGCACACAAGAGTGTCTGGCCTAGCTTACAATGGTCATAAGAATGCTGGAGCAAGGACAGGGGTCATTGCTTTGGACTTCACTGATTGCAACTACTTTAATGTGTTACCATGGCAACAAAAGTTTACTGGTCATAAGAAATTATCGCCTGGGCACATATACAGGCTAGAGGAAAGCCAAGTAAAAAGATGGCCTGACAGAAATTATGGCCGTCTTATCAAAATTACAGTAAGGCATTCAATAAAGGCAGCTTGTATTGTTTCCTATCAATGTCAAGGGAGCAACTCCTGACTGTAATCTGATGGAATTGAAGCACCTCTCAATAGTTTGACCCACCCAACTACCCACCCTCAATTGCTGCCGCTTGAGAGACAGAGGTAGAAGATTGTAAATAATTTCAGAAGTGTAGGTCAGTAGCTTGAGGACCTCTCAAACTGATGCTGGATAGGGCAAAGACATACGCATCTTATGTAGAAGGTGAATAAAGCTGGTATTGGAGGCGGGGCAGAATCAGATATCAAGGGGTGTGGCTAAAAACACAGGTATAATAGATTGAGGAAGGTAGGAACAAATTTTATAAATTTTGACTTTAAAGTAATCATTCTGTAAAAATAAGAGCTTGATAATTATTCTCAACAATTCTAATTTGATAAGAAAGAGGAAAATGTTTGTATGATAAAACAGAGTGAAAGAGTGAGGTATTGAGAGATAGACAGATAGAGAGAGTAAGCTGGTGAGAGAGAAACATGGAAATTGTGAGCTGGTTGGCAATAGAGAGAGAAAGACAGTAAATTAATGAGGGAACAAGTGAAAGAGGAAGATAGAAATAGAGAGCTAGTAAGCAAGTAAGAGAGAATGAGAGAAAGTGTGATGAAAGAGACAGAGAAAAACTGTGAGTTAGTGAAAAAGAAAGAATTAGCTGGTGAGAGAGACAGACAAAAATAGCAAGCTGGTAAGCAACATAGAGTGACCGACAGACAGAAATAGTGAGTTAGTAAACAACAGAAAAAGAGAGTGTAATAAAGAGAAAGAAAGTTAACTTGTGAGTGAAACTGATAAACAGAAAACTCAAATTGGAGAGGAAGAGTGAGCTGATTTGAGAGTGACAGAGAAAGCTGGTAAACAATAGAGAGAGAGAGAGAAAAAGAGACAGTGTGAACTAGTGAAAGAGAATGAGAGACAAACAGAAAGAATGATCCAATGAAAGAGATCGATAAAAAAACTCATGTCGAAGAGAAAGAGTGAGCAATATAGAGAGACTATCTGAGTGAACTGATGAGGGAGAGAGGCAAACAGACAGACAAAGAAAGAAGGAATTAATAAAAGAGAGAAAGAACAGATGAATCAATGAGAGAGACAGACAGAAACAATGAGTTAACATGAGAGATAGACAATAAACTCATGTTGGAGAGACAGTGTGAGCAATCTAAAGACAGAGAGAATGAACTGGTAAGAGAGAGAAAGTGAGAGAAACAAATAAAGAGACAGTGAGAAAGTATGAGCTGGTGAGAGAGAGTGAATAAAAAATCAATGAGAGAGAGAGAGAGACAAAAAGAATGAACTCACAAGAGAAAAAGTGAGCAATCTAGAAAGAGAGAATAAACTTGGGAGAGACAAACAGAGAGAGAAAAGGATTGAGAGAGAATGAGTGAATCAATGAGAGAGAGAGAGAGAGAGAGAGAGAGAGACAGAAAGAGAGAGCTAATGTAAAAGATAGACAGAAAATATGTTGGACAGAAAGAGTGAGTAATCAAGAGAGACAGAGAAAAACAGAGAAAAAGTGAGCTAATGAAAGAGGGATAGAAAGTCTGAGGGGAAAATAAGGGAATGAGTTGTTGAGAGAAAAAGAAAATGCCAGCAAACATAAGTTTGAATGAATGCTGAGCTAAGCATGAAATAGAGGAAAAGTGATTAGTCAGATGATACGAAAAATGGGTGCAAGATTGTACTAGAGGAGACACTGGAAATGCATATTTATGTGCTTATATAGGCGCATGTAGATCAGCAATCAAATTCTGAAACACAAGATTAACTTCCTAATACCATGCATACTTTTACGTTGTGGCCAACTGCAAATAAGTTTAATGAAAAGAAAGTCAACTAATCCAGTCTTGATCCAGACTTTGAGCCATACATTGGCTCAAATGCTGACTCAAACACAGGGGAGCAAGTCTAAACCCAACCTCATTTCATATAAAATGGTATCATACAATAACCAGGAATGCATTAGCATGATTTAAGACAGGTTCATTTAAGAGTTATATATATATATATATATATATATATATATATAGAGAGAGAGAGAGAGAGAGGTAAAATAGGTATTGATTTCTTTTTTTAACAAATGCATTTGCATTGACAAGTCCAAGAAAATTCTTTTTTTCCAGGGAAGAAATGGCCATCTGTATCAGGGAATTGTTTGGGTTTCATTAATTGCAATTTTTAGGAAATCTTTTTAGGAAATAATGGTTAAACAAATAAAATATATATATATATATATATATATATATATATATATATATATATATATATATATAGTATATATATATATATATATATATATATATATATATATATATATATATATATATATATATATATATATATATATATATATATATATATATATATATATATATATATATATATATATATATATATATATATATATATATATATATATATATATATATATATATATATATATATATATATATATATATATATATATATATATATATATATATATATATATATATATATATATATATATATATATATATATATATATATATATATTTATTTTTAGGACCTGGGTTATATATATCATCAGACAAACTGGTTTATTTTTTTTAAAATGCACCAGTTTATCTGATGATATAAACCCAGGGTCATAAAAATATACAATTTATATGTTAGTTCTATCACTGATATTACTTACAACTAAGTACATATATATATATATATATATATATATATATATATATAGATAGATAGATAGATAGATAGATAGATAGATAGATATGACATTAAACATAAGATCTTTAGCCAACAACCTTTTTGTTTAAACATGTCTTACAATAAATTGGCTGGAAATTTATGTTAAGCCTTTTTTTTCTCCTGGTGGCAAACGAGTCAAAATAAAGGAAATTACTAAATTTATTACAGTCATTATTAATTATAATTAATTTACTAAAGTTATTATAATCATTATTAATTATACTTAACTTACTAAAGGTTATTACATTTATTATTAACAAATTAATATAATTAAGTTATTATTATCACAAACTTATTAAAGTTATGTAACATATTAATTATTACTAAAAATACTATTGTTATTAACTTATCAGTTATTATATATATATATTAGTTATAATTAATATATAAATTTATTATTATTCAAGTTATTATTGCTATTGACTTATTTCTATTAGTAATTATTTTTATTAACTACAAGCTTAAAAGATGCACTCTTTATGGACTTTTAAGCTTCTGTGGATGGCTGTTTGGGCATCTGGCCCCAAACTAAAGGGATCTCAGGTCCAGCTTAAGAAACCAATTTAACTTATGAGTTAGTTTGGGCCAAAATTTCAATTCAGGTTAAAAATTGAGTTCTTCAAATCACAAACATTGTGGAACTTCTAAACCTCACATCACGAAACCTTTAACTTATGATTAATTGGAATTTTGAAGAAATAAAATTGATTTCCTCAATTCCCAAAGTTTTGGAGATATTTTAAACTGAAATTAAAACAAAAATTTTAAATTCTCTAAGATTTTTTTAAATTCTCTAAAATTTTTTTAGTTATTTTAAAATTTGAATTTTTAACTATTCTCTCCTCATCTCAATGCTGAATGTTCAAGCACCAGATAAAGGACATATTTTTAATTCCAGGATCATCCTGATTCCAAAAAAGGTATAATATATCTATATAGAGCAAGTGTGGACTGAGTTAGAGGGGGTTTCAGTCACATGGATGAACAGACAGAATTTGTCATTTATTTATTTTGATTATTATTACAAGCATTTTTTGTTACTAAACTTATTAACTTAATCATGTTAATATTGTCATTAAGTTGTTGTTATTATTATTAACATTTTAAAGTTATTATTATTATTACCTTTTTGAAGTTATTAAAATTATTATTAATTATTATTAAATTATCTGTTATGCTGTGAGTATTTTCACCATCATTTTATTATTTTCAAGGAAAGACAAAATATCAAGAAATATCCAATATCTTTATAATACAGTGTAACCCGGATATAAGAGAGTTGTCGAGACCGGAGAATAAGTCTCTTATATCCAGGTTTCTCTTATATCCGGGTTTGGTCTAATTTATATACATTAACACAGGCTCTAATTTAGGACCAGAGAAAATCTCTCTTATATCCGGGTTTCTCTTATATTCGGGTTACACTGTACTAAAACTTTGTGAACTTTGTTTGCTTGTGTTTTTGCCACTATGTACACAAAGTCATGTATAGAGAGCAGGGGAAAGAAAGATGTAAATTTATTATCAAGTAGGAAGTGAGAGAGAAGGAAATGGTGTGTATACATGAACTGACAGTGAGACCAAAGGAAAAAATGCTCTTTCTTTCCACCTTCCCATGATTCTGTGCATGTTTATTTACATTTCAGCTTTCTTTAAGAAAACAATATTCTAGATAATTAAAAAATATTTTTTGTCATATTTAAAAATATTTTCAAGTGAATATGATTTGTTTATACAGTAAGCATTTTTATTTCAACTTTCTTCAAACACACAATTTTTTAATGTTGAAAGCAACTTTAATATTTTATAATCTGAACCTTCAGTGACTCAATGAATCACAGGTAGTATAATACTAAAAGTCTGTGAATTGGGTATCCATTGTACGTATTTTTATTTCAACTTTCTTCAAACAGACAATTTTTTAATGATAAAATCAACTTCAATGGTTTATAAACTGAAGTATCAGTGACCCAATGGGTCACAATTAGTAGCTTTTATGTTTTTAATGTTCTAAAGTTTTAAATGAATGTCAGTCCACATACTATAACTGTGAAATAAATTTTAGTGACTCTTAGCCAAAATAACATTACAGTTCAAAAGCATTTTAACACATACATGCCTAAACTGAAACAAATTCTTTTGATAGTAAGTTGATTTCTTTTGGTGTACAGGGACCTCATGATTTACAATATATATATATATATATATATATATATATTTTTAAGCAGACTTGCAGAGTACTGCTATATTGTCAACAAATATAAGGTATATTTAGATAGCAAGGATTCATCCAAAAAGTTTTATAAATTCAAATGAGGATCTGTCCTTCTTTTTCCAGTTTCCTGTGGTGATATTGAGATAAAAGTTGTTGATAAACTGTCCACAATTCATTATTTTGTATTTCATTTAAGAACTCAGTGTTTTCAGCATGGTAGACAAGGTGGTTACAAACTGGCATTTTTTTAATAATGCTAAATGCAATTCCATCCAAAGTAATGCCATGTGTAGACATTAAGTTGAGTTTGATTTCACCAGAAAAGAATGTATCAAATATTTTATACACTACCAGTATTTTATTTAAAATGGGTTGTTTTTTAGTATGATAATGGATCCTAGAATTTATGAGTTTTTCTTTGCTCTATAGTATTTTAGCATTATCTATTAATATTTGTCTTTATGCTGCTTTTTTTTTTTTTTTTTACTTTAGTTCACCTAATTCAATGTTGGGTCTAAGGGTCACTCAAGGTAAGGGGTCATTAAGTAAGATTGTTGTAAGAGAGAAGAAAGAAATAGGATGTGCCGATGATGATGATATATAGGATAAATATCAGTTAGCCTAAAACTTGAAGAGATTAAGATTGTAGTGGTCAAGGAAGCATACTCCTTACCAAAGAAACACGAAGGCAATGATTTGCCACTGGCATTGCATGGACAGGTCCGAGGTTTGAAGGTCATTTTCTATGGATTATCAACCTTCTGCTGGTTATTTAAAGCCAGAAAATATTTTTAGATCATAAAAATCTTTTTTTACAGATAAAAACAGTTTAGTGATGCAAATCTTACTAATTAACCCATAGATGGAGGGAGAATAGGTGGATTAATGCTTTTCCAAAGGGTATTTGTGTGTAAGTGAATATAGCAAACCCAAAAGGAATTTGATTGACAATTCCAAGCCATTATTCATTATACCACTCACACATCCAAGCTTAGAGCACCTGGTATTCCAAAATAGTCACCCCTCTAGATACGGATCAGGCTCAAAGTTTGGTGATCCTATGGGAATCGGTGTCTCAACATGATGTGCCTAGTGGGTCTAAGGAATGTAACTCTTTAGATCATCTGCCATAATGGTAGAGTAATGAGAGGCAAGCAATATTTCATCAGTAAGATAAAGTGTTGCAGGGTAGAAAATAATTCATCGCCCACAAGGGCATATAATCAGTTCTGAAATCTATCAAGGCTGGACAATGAGGATTGGGCAACATCAGCCCAAATAGGGTATAGATCCTTCATTCTGGGTCAGATCTAACTCTTGTAAAGACATAGCATGGCAGCAAGAGTTAGATATTTTTGGGAGAGATGCAAGGAACTGGTCATTCTCCCAACATCTTTAATGATGTCACAAATATATGAATTCCATTTGAAGTCTACAGTAAGCTTTAGACCCAATCGGCATTCAAAGCAAGGAACCTATGACCGCTCATTATGATTGGAGAAAATTTATGGTTTACTTGCTGGTCAAGAAATGTTACTAGCTTTTTGATAGTTGTATTTTGATTGTTTTTGATACTATGATCTACTTGTAAGCAAATTGTACCAAATTTAAACAAGTGACAAATCACCCTACAAGAGAGTGTAGTGAATG